ATCTAGATCTTATTGTTTTTTCCCAAATGATAGAGTATAAAATATATTTCTGAGCCTCAACCATCAGCTTAAATTTTTGGTTGAATTGGTCCTCTAACATGGTATCAGAGCCAGCGTAATACAAAGGTCACGAGTACGAATCTCATCTGCCCTTCCTTTAAAGTGGAATTAATTCGCACCAGCTATGGGTAGACCTTTGTTACATCCACATTTCATGCCTAAAGAGCCTTTATGTGAGGGGGAGTGATAGAGTATAAGGCTTTTCTTTGTCAATAAAAAAAAAAAAAGTTGTAACCTTTTCATTTTACCCCTTGTTTTGTTAGAAAAATAAAAATTTAAACATTTATTTGTGTATATTAGTAATCATCGCAGAGTATAAAAATGGCTTTTATAAAATTACTCATGGCCATACATTAAAAGGATTTGAGGATGCGTAAACCAACTACAATTAACATAATTAATTGAATAGTGCAAAAGTCAAACTGTTGAAATTAAAAAATTAACAAAATGAAGTACAATAATCCCCGGAATCAAAAAACATAATGTATGCTATAGAACAATACATGAAAACACATGATGAACATATACTAAACTCAATCAGTATTGCTAGTATGAACTAGTGAGTACATATTATAGCTTAATAATTAGCATAAGTGCATAAACCCGTACCAGGAGGAAGCTTCTTCTTTCGAGTTTTAATAAGAGGTTCGGTAGGAAGGTTTCGAGCATGAACGCAGTTCAATCCTTGACAACATACGTACGGACCATAGAGTTGGCACTCTTGAAGGTGGTGTCTACACTTATCTTTCGACGGAGGTTGTTGATTATCTAAAGGTGTACATAGTCCGAGACCACCTGGTTGCTCTGGTGTCCAACCAAGACAATATAATCCTTCACAACAAGCGTAATCGCCATAACCTCCACAAAGTTGTTTTAGTTTCCTACACGTAGGGTTAGGTTGTGGTTGTGGTGGTGGTGGTGGTGATGATGGCGGCGATGGTGGTGGTGGTGTGCTCGAGGTGTCCGGTACATATGATGGTTGTTGATCATAGGGTCCATAACTCTTTTCCATGGCTGGAAGAAAAATATGAACATAACACCACAAATTTGTAAGTAACAATTAGTGAATGTTAAAGAGAATTAAGCTAAATATAGTTTTATCATCTTATATGAAGTTTAAGCACTTCACTATTTCACTTCATCTCATACTCCTCTTGTATCAAATTTCTTGCATTACTTTAACTGAATACTCTTGACAATGTACAATTTTGGCTATCAATATCTTTTAATAGTAAAAATATAAATTGAATATATACATTATAATAAATCCAATAGTGCCTTAGATATGGACATTTGTTTTCATATATTTTCAAAAAAATATGATCAAAATAGTGGTGAAAATTCATTATGAAGTTATGAGTAATTAACTAACGAGTTGGTCTTTTAAGAATACTATGAGGCATATATAAAAGGGATACTCAAAATGACACCATGGCGAAATTTTCACAAGGATTAGAATTTTTTGGATAATATATGATTTGGAATTATTATAAATCAATATTATATACGTCTGAGTGCACCGTACACTCAACTAATCCAAAATTAAATGAGAACGAACTACTCATGGATGAATGGTGCACCTGATGTATACGATAATATCTCAATTATTATAATATCTTTGTATGTGTACTTTTCCATAAAAGTATACATCTCCATGCATTTTATATTTAATGAGGGCTCAAATATCTATAAAAACGAGGACAAAATGATTAAATTAGAAAACCCTAAAAGGACAAGAAAAACACTATTTTAAGAAACTCAAATTCAAAAATGGAAAAAATATTATAGGACAGAGGACGTTAGGGCAAAAGGTAACCAAAAAAAAAAAAACACACACAAACAATATTAAGAAAGAAATACAAAAACTAAACCTGATTCAGCCAATGCCAAAAGAGCTAGCAAAATTGACAACACAAATAAGTTGATAAAAATCCTCTCCATTGTGTTAATTAAATGTTTTAAAATTAAATTGAAGTTTGATTATGTTAGCAATGTCCACCATTATATTGCAATACTTATATAGTGCTTCCAAATGCGCTTAAAAAGTCTACTTACTAGGTAAAAGTAATTACGAGTCGTGAGCTAGCAATTTCTATGATTACTTACTTAATTATTGAGTTGTTGCGCACGACTAGTTCACTACGATAAAATTTATATATACAGCTTGTTATGGCTATTTTTATCAGATAAACTAAATAGATTTTTAGATGGTTGCAGCCACGTCTTTGGATTATTATGTTTTTGTTGAGGTACACATACCGACCCTCCTAAATATAGTACATACCTTTGTTAGAAAGAATTAAAAAAAAAATGCAAGGAAATATCTAATATAATTATAGTCTACAAAAATCTATTGATATAATATATCTATGATACTAATAAATCTAATGTAAATTACAGTATTAACTTTCGCAAAACCTGTTATATACACTCAAATTGTACAGAGTTACATGCATCCAATATAAGGGTAATTTTTTCCTCATTTGATACGAGTATATATTTGTATGCTCATTTTAAGATTCTAAAATGATCCGAGCAAAAATATCATGAGCAGAAAATACCATTGGGTTTACCTTGCACTCGGGTGTATATATATAAATTACTTTATATCTCTTTAGAATAATCTAGCATTAAATATTATAATCATCTTTTGTACAGAGTATTAAGGTGTATATATACTATTAAGGTGTATATATACTCTGTAGTATGTATAAATATGTATGTGATTATTGTCCATAGGATACAAAATTAAAATTAAAAAATGATATTAGTCTTGTTTGGTATAGAAGCTGGAAAGCTTTTAGCTAATAGAGCCTAGTTAGAGGTTAGCTTACTGAAAGACTTAAAACTCTTTTTGAAAAAATCATTATAAGAACTTTTTGAAATCAACTTATTGAATAATTAGCTTTTTTACTTTTTGGCTATCAAATACACTTATGTCTTGTTTGGTAAAGTGCATTTTGGAGTTATTGATCCCTATTATATGTTTGACTGATTTAAATACCACCTTCGAATATTTTTAGTTGCAACTTTGCAATATTTTATATCTCACAAATAATACCCCAAAATTGCAACTAATTTAATAAAAATCGGAGGTAGTATCAAATTTGGGTGTTTGGTAAATAGTTTATTGAAAGAGATTTTTGGACTCAAAAAGCACACACTTTTAGAAAACAATCAATACAAAACTTTTTGATATTAGCTTATTAAAAAAAATCATCTTTTGTCTATTAAATACACTAAAACAACTAAGTACGTAGCACTTAATTACTAAACACTTTTACACAATAAGCTAAACTATTTATAACCAGCTAGTCAAATTAATTAATACAACCAAGTTCAATATTATTCTAAAATGATTAATTGTATTCAATTCAACTTGCTACATGATTAATCATGATATAGCTAATGTTAGTTTACTGATATCATATACTAGCAGTAGTGATGAGTCCAGCAAAGCAAAGACATGGTTGCATGCACGTAATAACAACGAAAATAATGATGCATCTATATTATATCTTGTTAATTATTTGATAATGTATTTAATTTCCTTAAGTTTTTTTTTGGCTTGTCGATCAACATACAATAAAATTAGTTTTCATTCCATAAGGTAAGCAATATAAATGCTAAGGAAAGCTGAGGAATGTTCAATCACTCGCCTAAAACAATAATAGATCGTATAAGCTTAGCTTAGAAATGCAACAATCTTCTTATATTTCCTTCATTAAAATGGCGAGTATTCGTATCAACTACACTGTTATGTCAATGATGTTCTTAGCTATTCTTTTACTAAGTGTATCAGGTTTGGCTCCGACCTCTTTTTCTCCTACAATACTCATTATTATTACACGTATTATGTGCTTTGGAGATATTGTTATATACACCTAGTGTACCGTACACCCATAAGTATTTTGTACTTATTTTGATGATTATATTTCGTTGATTCATCAAATGAAGAACAAAAACTAATCTTGGGTTAGTTGGATGTACGGTAAACCTGGATGTATATAAAAATTTTATGTGCACGGGCTAAATTTTTTTTTTTTTTTCTATAATTCTAGTCAAATGTCGTTTTCAATTCATATATGCATGTTCGATTACTCTATAAGTTAAATAATTTTTGAAAAACGGGTGACTAATATTCATGGTTAAAATTATTTCAGTTCCAGCATTCATCGATGCAATTGAAACATCCGAAGAAGAAAAATGTCAAGGTGAAGGCAATATATGTGTTTCTAAAGGTGTATATGCTTGTTGTGAAGGACTAGTCTGCTCAGCTTCCAATATTGTTATTGGTGTTTGTAAAAAACCTCTACCGGATCTACTAATAGATTATGCAAATTGAGACTCCTTATAATCATCGAAATTCATGAATACATACAAGCAACTCTACTAAGTATCTAGAAGAGTTTCTTGTATAATATACCACTATTTGTTTCTAGTTTGCACTGTGATGTTTCTCATAAATGTTCTTTTTAATCAGTATTATTATTCATAATATTATTATTCATAATATCATAATTATTGTTAGATAATCAACTCAATCAAAAGCTTAAACAGATGGTTGAGATTAAAGAATATGTTTTATACTCTATATCAACAATGTTCATTTTGTTGCTTTGATCGGTCTTGGATTTATTTTTAATTTTTTTTTTCAATTCAAAGTGTATTGTTTGTTGATGGGGGTACACATACGTATGTCAAATTAAAAAAAAAAAATATTGAATGATCATCAAAGTCAAATATAGTAATAATATACGTTATCTAATCATATATACTTCGTAGAATTTTGTGATTGATTGGTCTACCACAGAAACGACACTTAATAAATTTAGGAAATTGAACCTCATTCGTTGGAAAAATGGCTAGAAAGCATGGGTGTATTATAATATCACAACTTAAACTACTAATCATACATATACAATATATTCTTATTGAACTTAAGAAATATGGATGATGTTGACAAAATAACTCAAAAGTGTTGGACCTTTGATGGCTGTAATGCAATTTAGGTCAAATTGAATGAGTCTATGTGAAGGGAAAAAAAAAATTGCAATCTAACCCATGAAATATCACCGTGATCGAATTGAAAAAGGGACCTTACATTTTTTTTTTTGACACACCTTACATGTTTTTTTTTTTTTTTGACAGTGAGAACAAAGAAAAGAAAACATAAGCAACAGACTAAAAATACCAAAAAAACACTCCCGAGCACGAGCCTTTCCAGCCAACCAGTGTACAGGAGACACCCATTCCCTAGGAACCTTAAGAATTTTACAAGCCGCACAGGTAGACAAAAGAACCCGAGTATCCCGAAGTAACCAGTATAAAGAAACCTCATCTTTCTGTTGTTGGCCTAACATCCGACACAGAGGCTCACAGTCCGAGTAAATAAGAATCCTACGAAAACCACGAGAAAAAGCATTGCGTAACCCCCAAAAACAAGCTTGTAACTCAGACTGTAAGGCTGAAGAAGAGAGAGAAGCACGAGCCCCTCCTCCTCGGACTGAAGGAGAACCACAATCACGAAGAACCCAACCAGCACCTGCCGAATTATCCGAGGATGACCAAGACCCGTCGCAAATCAAACAAATATTAAACCCCGACGTAGGGTCCCCAGCAAGAGTGGCAGCAAATCCCGAACCAACAGGCCTAGGGCTAGGACCCAAAGTAGAAGAAGGAAGGTGAGAATCCTGAGCCTGCCTCCCTCGCACATTCCACTGAGAAGCAAGAAGCAAAACATCATCCGGAGAGACAGCTTGTTGCCGAAAACGTACATTATTACGGGACAACCATATAGACCAAAGAAGGGAGAAAAATTGCACCAAGTTCTCCCAATCCTTAGCAGCCGCTAACAACGAGACCATAACAGAAAACCATTGGAGAAAGGGAAGATGAAGAAGACCCTGACTATTGAAATGAAACGAGCTGCGAACCCATAAAGGAGTAACGAAATCACAGTCTCGAAACAAATGGTTGATCGTCTCCTGCTCCCTTCGACAAAAGCAGCAAGTCGAATCCACGGAAACGCCGCGAACAGCTAGAGCTGAGGCAACCGGAATACCAGCATGAATTATTTTCCAGCCAAAGATCTTCCATTTAGGAAGAAGGGGGAGCGCCCAAAATTTCTTCCACCAGGGAATAGGCAAGGACCCCAAAGGAGGACACCTGATAGTCTGATGAAGTAAGAGAGCATAGGCAGACTTCGTAGAAAAGGAGCCATCCTTGGTAAATTTCCAATATACAAAATCATCCATAAGCTCCTGCGGACGATCCAAACTAAGGATCCTGACGGCAGTTGGACTATCAAAAAACCGATGGACTCTCGAGGAGTCCCACGCGTTAGAACGCGGATCAATTATACCAGACACATGAGTCAGAAGATCCGACTGAGATAAACCATCCTTGAATAACACTGGACCCCAGGAGCCCAGTTGTCGGCTGTTATGTGTACCTTGTCACCTCTACCCACTTTCCAACGTACACCAGAAGAAACAGCCGAAAGAGCCATCTGCAACCCACGACAGCCCCAAGAGGGGCGAGAAATCCGAGCTCCCAGATTGACTGGCAGAGAGGGGTACTTCAAAAACATGAGTCTAGAAACCAAAAGTTGAGGATTTCGAATCATCCTCCACCCTGTACCAGCAAGGATAGCTGAATTAAAGCAAGCAATGTTGCGCACACCCAAACCCCCCAAACCTTTTGGTAAATGAAGAAGAGACACTGAGCGCAACGCCAAACCCTTCCGAGAACCAGACGATCTCCACCAAAAGTTGGCAAGCATGCTATCAAGTTGAGAAGCTACAGAAGACGGAATCTTGAAAACCGACAAGATATGATTAAACGATGCTATCAAAACCGAATTTATGATAGCCAGTTTCGCTGCTGCTAACAAGCGAAGAGAAGCAAAAGCAGACAACCGGCTAGCAACCTTGTCAATTAGAAACCTGAATTCCGCGACTTTAATCCTTCCAAGGTCAACAGGAAGACCTAGATGAGTACCAAAAGAAGCCTTCGATTGTAGTCGAAGACTGCGAGCTAAAAAATCACGGTAGTCTTGAGGGGTATTTGGGCTGAACTTGACAAAGGACTTCTGAAGATTAATCATCTGACCCGAAGTAGAGCAAAAATCCGAAATAATGGCCATGACATTGTCACACGCTTGGGGCGAAAGTTGGAAAAATAACAGCGAATCATCTGCAAAGAACAGATGGGAAATCGAAGGTCCGCCCCTAGACACACGAATACCAGAAAACAAAGCCTGTTCTTCCGCCCGCCTAAGAGAGGTCGACAACACCTCCATACACAAAACAAATAGATATGGTGACAGAGGATCACCTTGTCTAAGACCACATTGTGGTCGAAAGGACGGTGTAAGACTCCCATTCACAAGAACCTGGTACGAGACAGTTGTAACACACTGCTCAATAATATAAACCGAATAAGGCGGAAAACCAAAGGCCCGTAAACCTGACTTAAAAAATCCCAGCGAACTCTATCATAAGCTTTATTCATATCCAACTTTAGAGCCGCATAAAAAGGTTTCCGAGCTTTAGAAGCATTCATAAAGGATAGAAGCTCGTGAGCTACCAAAGCATTATCAGAAATTAGGCGACCCGGCACAAAGGCATTCTGGAACCCTGAAATAAGAGATGGAAGAACCCCTCGCAGACGGCCAGTAATGCATTTTGCTATACATTTTTACATGACATTACATAAACCAATCAGCCGAAACTGAGACACTAACTCCGGCTGAGAAACCTTCGGCAGAAGGACTAAGAAGGTTCTATTCCAGTCCTTCAGCATATAACCATGAGCAAAAAAGTATTGAACTGCCGAGATAACCAAATGCCCAGTATGATCCCAATGAGTATTGAAAAAAGCCGAAGTAAAGCCATCAGGCCCAGGAGATTTGTCGTTAGCAATATGAAACATTGCAGCTTTAATCTCAGAAGGCGAGAACGGGGCCATTAACATGTCCTTTTGAGACGAGGATAGCGTCGGGAGGCCAAGGTGATCCCAAGAAAAAGGAGGGTCACTCCCAAATGGAGATACATGAGAATATAGATCAGAGTAAAAGGCCTGAATAAGAGAGCGAAGCCCAAGAGAATCCGAAACCCAAATACCAGCATCATTCTTCAAACTGACAATCAGATTACGACGACGACGAGCTTGGACCACCGAAAACAGTAATTTGGAGTGTGACTCCCCTCCAGCATCCTATTTAGTTTTAGCACGTTGTTTCCAATAGAGAAAAGCAGCAGTTGCTTCGACTATCTTCTCTTCCCTAGTATTTAGAAAAAGAACTCGCGCCACTGGGGATTGTAATTGAGTAGAAGAAGAAGACAAATCAGAACATAAAGCTTTCCAGTTTATACCCCAAGATTTCCTGTGGCTAAGGCACCAGTCTTTAAGTCGCCTGCGAATAACAACAAGCCTGCGAGATAAGGTAAAACACGGAGAGCCTGTAAATTCTAAACGACAGCCGTCCTTAATAATCCTAGAAGTATCCTGAGCAGATAAGCACCAGTTTTCGATTCTATAAGGTCGCCGAACAGAATCTTGAGGTAACGAGTCTGAAAAGATAATAGCTGTGTGATCCGAAAATAGAATCGGTTGATGATGAACAATGGAGTCCGGATAATCAATAAACCAATCCTGAGTTGCATATGCCTTATCTAATCTTTCAAAAGTCGGGTCCACCTCTATTCTATTGTTTGTCCAAGTATAAGAAGGTCCAGAAAAAGGAACATTCACTAACCCTAAATTCAACCGCCATTGAATAAAATCCAAACGTCCTGGAATAAGTGAAGACCCTCCTATTTTATCCGATAGATACCCGACTTGGTTAAAATCACCAATCAACAAAATGTTCGGGTAAGTTTGGACAAATCTAGCAATAGACGACCACACATCTGATCTATCTGCTACATGAGGTGCCCCGTACACAAAGATCACAAATTTTATCACATCACCAACCTCTATTTTACAAACTACAAAGTTTGGAGATATAAACACTGGAACTACACTAAAAGGAGCAAGCCAAAAAATGAACAAACCACCACTTAATCCTACAGCATCTACACCACAACAACCCAAAAAAGGAATAGATGCTAAACTGAGCACAACATTATCCACAGAAACCATTGTTTCCATCAAAAACACCACATCCAAGTGATGGGAGCGGACTAAAGAGCTTAGATACGGAAATTTAGGGGAGTCCGCTTGTCCAAGACCCCTACAGTTCCAGGCAGCAACTTTCATCTCAATTTGGGTGACCCATTACGGGAGGTCACCGAGCCCGCTGAAGAAGAAGTTGTAGAAACCAAATCTAAACTGCCCTTGCGCTTCTTGCAAGGTAACAAACAGGGAAAACAACCTGAGCCATGTTGCAACATCGAGACTAGGGGTGCTGATGGTTCCAGTGCACCACCCGAACGCTGATGGTAGGGCAAAGAGCATGCCAGACTGTTCAACAATCTTGCGGAGGAATGTCCGCATATCAATGCTGTGAAGGACTACAATGCATTTTCAACGGTGACTATCCAGGCGCAACAGGAACGTGTATGCGACGAACGTGTAAGACCGTTCAACAATATTGTGGTGGCACTTCAGCGTACCAATTTTGTGAAGGACTACGATGTGAGCTTGATGGTGATTATCCTGGATCCGGCGGAGTTTGTAGGCCGCTAAAACCATGTCGAAGGACATATCAACTTTGCGGAGGTATCAATAGATTGAAATGTTGCCAAGGATTAAGATGTGTACTTGATGACGATTATCCAGAAGTTGGCGGTGTTTGTATGCCAGGAAGAAAATGTCAAAGTGATTATGAATCTTGTGGTGGTAGCACTGGACTTCAGTGTTGCGAAAGGTACGCTTGTGTCTATGATGCGAGTAGCTATGCTGGTGATGGTGGTGTTTGTGTGCCTACTTACAAGCAGAGTTCTTCGTCGAAATGATGACTTATTAGTCCATTCATGTGGATGACTCTCATTTTCTTGAGCTACAATTGTGTTAATTTGAGTTGCATATATGTATTTTTTGTTGAGTGTTTGATTTCTTGTATTAATTTTGATTGTATTGATTGAGTTTACTTAATAAATGTTACGGAGTTTTATTAAGAAATTTATATATATGCTATTGCTATGCATGTGTTTGGGTACAAATTGATTTTTATTTTTATTTTTTATTTTTTGGGCTGCTCATTACAAGCCAAAATTTTCTTCTGTGCAGTGCAGGTATATATTCTCGGCCCAATTCACCAATTGAACCAAAATCGTCTTTAACCCAATATTAAAAGTCTTAGTCGATCTAGATCTTATTGTTTTTTCCCAAATGATAGAGTATAAAATATATTTCTGAGCCTCAACCATCAGCTTAAATTTTTGGTTGAATTGGTCCTCTAACATGGTATCAGAGCCAGCGTAATACAAAGGTCACGAGTACGAATCTCATCTGCCCTTCCTTTAAAGTGGAATTAATTCGCACCAGCTATGGGTAGACCTTTGTTACATCCACATTTCATGCCTAAAGAGCCTTTATGTGAGGGGGAGTGATAGAGTATAAGGCTTTTCTTTGTCAATAAAAAAAAAAAAAGTTGTAACCTTTTCATTTTACCCCTTGTTTTGTTAGAAAAATAAAAATTTAAACATTTATTTGTGTATATTAGTAATCATCGCAGAGTATAAAAATGGCTTTTATAAAATTACTCATGGCCATACATTAAAAGGATTTGAGGATGCGTAAACCAACTACAATTAACATAATTAATTGAATAGTGCAAAAGTCAAACTGTTGAAATTAAAAAATTAACAAAATGAAGTACAATAATCCCCGGAATCAAAAACATAATGTATGCTATAGAACAATACATGAAAACACATGATGAACATATACTAAACTCAATCAGTATTGCTAGTATGAACTAGTGAGTACATATTATAGCTTAATAATTAGCATAAGTGCATAAACCCGTACCAGGAGGAAGCTTCTTCTTTCGAGTTTTAATAAGAGGTTCGGTAGGAAGGTTTCGAGCATGAACGCAGTTCAATCCTTGACAACATACGTACGGACCATAGAGTTGGCACTCTTGAAGGTGGTGTCTACACTTATCTTTCGACGGAGGTTGTTGATTATCTAAAGGTGTACATAGTCCGAGACCACCTGGTTGCTCTGGTGTCCAACCAAGACAATATAATCCTTCACAACAAGCGTAATCGCCATAACCTCCACAAAGTTGTTTTAGTTTCCTACACGTAGGGTTAGGTTGTGGTTGTGGTGGTGGTGGTGGTGATGATGGCGGCGATGGTGGTGGTGGTGTGCTCGAGGTGTCCGGTACATATGATGGTTGTTGATCATAGGGTCCATAACTCTTTTCCATGGCTGGAAGAAAAATATGAACATAACACCACAAATTTGTAAGTAACAATTAGTGAATGTTAAAGAGAATTAAGCTAAATATAGTTTTATCATCTTATATGAAGTTTAAGCACTTCACTATTTCACTTCATCTCATACTCCTCTTGTATCAAATTTCTTGCATTACTTTAACTGAATACTCTTGACAATGTACAATTTTGGCTATCAATATCTTTTAATAGTAAAAATATAAATTGAATATATACATTATAATAAATCCAATAGTGCCTTAGATATGGACATTTGTTTTCATATATTTTCAAAAAAATATGATCAAAATAGTGGTGAAAATTCATTATGAAGTTATGAGTAATTAACTAACGAGTTGGTCTTTTAAGAATACTATGAGGCATATATAAAAGGGATACTCAAAATGACACCATGGCGAAATTTTCACAAGGATTAGAATTTTTTGGATAATATATGATTTGGAATTATTATAAATCAATATTATATACGTCTGAGTGCACCGTACACTCAACTAATCCAAAATTAAATGAGAACGAACTACTCATGGATGAATGGTGCACCTGATGTATACGATAATATCTCAATTATTATAATATCTTTGTATGTGTACTTTTCCATAAAAGTATACATCTCCATGCATTTTATATTTAATGAGGGCTCAAATATCTATAAAAACGAGGACAAAATGATTAAATTAGAAAACCCTAAAAGGACAAGAAAAACACTATTTTAAGAAACTCAAATTCAAAAATGGAAAAAATATTATAGGACAGAGGACCTTAGGGCAAAAGGTAACCAAAAAAAAAACACACACACAAACAATATTAAGAAAGAAATACAAAAACTAAACCTGATTCAGCCAATGCCAAAAGAGCTAGCAAAATTGACAACACAAATAAGTTGATAAAAATCCTCTCCATTGTGTTAATTAAATGTTTTAAAATTAAATTGAAGTTTGATTATGTTAGCAATGTCCACCATTATATTGCAATACTTATATAGTGCTTCCAAATGCGCTTAAAAAGTCTACTTACTAGGTAAAAGTAATTACGAGTCGTGAGCTAGCAATTTCTATGATTACTTACTTAATTATTGAGTTGTTGCGCACGACTAGTTCACTACGATAAAATTTATATATACAGCTTGTTATGGCTATTTTTATCAGATAAACTAAATAGATTTTTAGATGGTTGCAGCCACGTCTTTGGATTATTATGTTTTTGTTGAGGTACACATACCGACCCTCCTAAATATAGTACATACCTTTGTTAGAAAGAATTAAAAAAAAAATGCAAGGAAATATCTAATATAATTATAGTCTACAAAAATCTATTGATATAATATATCTATGATACTAATAAATCTAATGTAAATTACAGTATTAACTTTCGCAAAACCTGTTATATACACTCAAATTGTACAGAGTTACATGCATCCAATATAAGGGTAATTTTTTTCCTCATTTGATACGAGTATATATTTGTATGCTCATTTTAAGATTCTAAAATGATCCGAGCAAAAATATCATGAGCAGAAAATACCATTGGGTTTACCTTGCACTCGGGTGTATATATATAAATTACTTTATATCTCTTTAGAATAATCTAGCATTAAATATTATAATCATCTTTTGTACAGAGTATTAAGGTGTATATATACTATTAAGGTGTATATATACTCTGTAGTATGTATAAATATGTATGTGATTATTGTCCATAGGATACAAAATTAAAATTAAAAAATGATATTAGTCTTGTTTGGTATAGAAGCTGGAAAGCTTTTAGCTAATAGAGCCTAGTTAGAGGTTAGCTTACTGAAAGACTTAAAACTCTTTTTGAAAAAATCATTATAAGAACTTTTTGAAATCAACTTATTGAATAATTAGCTTTTTTACTTTTTGGCTATCAAATACACTTATGTCTTGTTTGGTAAAGTGCATTTTGGAGTTATTGATCCCTATTATATGTTTGACTGATTTAAATACCACCTTCGAATATTTTTAGTTGCAACTTTGCAATATTTTATATCTCACAAATAATACCCCAAAATTGCAACTAATTTAATAAAAATCGGAGGTAGTATCAAATTTGGGTGTTTGGTAAATAGTTTATTGAAAGAGATTTTTGGACTCAAAAAGCACACACTTTTAGAAAACAATCAATACAAAACTTTTTGATATTAGCTTATTAAAAAAAATCATCTTTTGTCTATTAAATACACTAAAACAACTAAGTACGTAGCACTTAATTACTAAACACTTTTACACAATAAGCTAAACTATTTATAACCAGCTAGTCAAATTAATTAATACAACCAAGTTCAATATTATTCTAAAATGATTAATTGTATTCAATTCAACTTGCTACATGATTAATCATGATATAGCTAATGTTAGTTTACTGATATCATATACTAGCAGTAGTGATGAGTCCAGCAAAGCAAAGACATGGTTGCATGCACGTAATAACAACGAAAATAATGATGCATCTATATTATATCTTGTTAATTATTTGATAATGTATTTAATTTCCTTAGGTTTTTTTTGGCTTGTCGATCAACATACAATAAAATTAGTTTTCATTCCATAAGGTAAGCAATATAAATGCTAAGGAAAGCTGAGGAATGTTCAATCACTCGCCTAAAACAATAATAGATCGTATAAGCTTAGCTTAGAAATGCAACAATCTTCTTATATTTCCTTCATTAAAATGGCGAGTATTCGTATCAACTACACTGTTATGTCAATGATGTTCTTAGCTATTCTTTTACTAAGTGTATCAGGTTTGGCTCCGACCTCTTTTTCTCCTACAATACTCATTATTATTACACGTATTATGTGCTTTGGAGATATTGTTATATACACCTAGGGTACCGTACACCCATAAGTATTTTGTACTTATTTTGATGATTATATTTCGTTGATTCATCAAATGAAGAACAAAAACTAATCTTGGGTTAGTTGGATGTACGGTAAACCTGGATGTATATAAAAATTTTATGTGCACGGGCTAATTTTTTTTTTCTTTTTTTCTATAATTCTAGTCAAATGTCGTTTTCAATTCATATATGCATGTTCGATTACTCTATAAGTTAAATAATTTTTGAAAAACGGGTGACTAATATTCATGGTTAAAATTATTTCAGTTCCAGCATTCATCGATGCAATTGAAACATCCGAAGAAGAAAAATGTCAAGGTGAAGGCAATATATGTGTTTCTAAAGGTGTATATGCTTGTTGTGAAGGACTAGTCTGCTCAGCTTCCAATATTGTTATTGGTGTTTGTAAAAAACCTCTACCGGATCTACTAATAGATTATGCAAATTGAGACTCCTTATAATCATCGAAATTCATGAATACATACAAGCAACTCTACTAAGTATCTAGAAGAGTTTCTTGTATAATATACCACTATTTGTTTCTAGCTTGCACTGTGATGTTTCTCATAAATGTTCTTTTTAATCAGTATTATTATTCATAATATTATTATTCATAATATCATAATTATTGTTAGATAATCAACTCAATCAAAAGCTTAAACAGATGGTTGAGATTAAAGAATATGTTTTATACTCTATATCAACAATGTTCATTTTGTTGCTTTGATCGGTCTTGGATTTATTTTTAATTTTTTTTTTTCAATTCAAAGTGTATTGTTTGTTGATGGGGGTACACATACGTATGTCAAATTAAAAAAAAAAAAAAGATTGAATGATCATCAAAGTCAAATATAGTAATAATATACGTTATCTAATCATATATACTTCGTAGAATTTTGTGATTGATTGGTCTACCACAGAAACGACACTTAATAAATTTAGGAAATTGAACCTCATTCGTTGGAAAAATGGCTAGAAAGCATGGGTGTATTATAATATCACAACTTAAACTACTAATCATACATATACAATATATTCTTATTGAACTTAAGAAATATGGATGATGTTGACAAAATAACTCAAAAGTGTTGGACCTTTGATGGCTGTAATGCAATTTAGGTCAAATTGAATGAGTCTATGTGAAGGGAAAAAAAAAAATTGCAATCTAACCCATGAAATATCACCGTGATCGAATTGAAAAAGGGATCTTACATTTTTTTTTTTTTTGACACACCTTACATGTTTTTTTTTTTTTTTGACAGTGAGAACAAAGAAAAGAAAACATAAGCAACAGACTAAAAATACCAAAAAAACACTCCCGAGCACGAGCCTTTCCAGCCAACCAGTGTACAGGAGACACCCATTCCCTAGGAACCTTAAGAATTTTACAAGCCGCACAGGTAGACAAAAGAACCCGAGTATCCCGAAGTAACCAGTATAAAGAAACCTCATCTTTCTGTTGTTGGCCTAACATCCGACACAGAGGCTCACAGTCCGAGTAAATAAGAATCCTACGAAAACCACGAGAAAAAGCATTGCGTAACCCCCAAAAACAAGCTTGTAACTCAGACTGTAAGGCTGAAGAAGAGAGAGAAGCACGAGCCCCTCCTCCTCGGACTGAAGGAGAACCACAATCACGAAGAACCCAACCAGCACCTGCCGAATTATCCGAGGATGACCAAGACCCGTCGCAAATCAAACAAATATTAAACCCCGACGTAGGGTCCCCAGCAAGAGTGGCAGCAAATCCCGAACCAACAGGCCTAGGGCTAGGACCCAAAGTAGAAGAAGGAAGGTGAGAATCCTGAGCCTGCCTCCCTCGCACATTCCACTGAGAAGCAAGAAGCAAAACATCATCCGGAGAGACAGCTTGTTGCCGAAAACGTACATTATTACGGGACAACCATATAGACCAAAGAAGGGAGAAAAATTGCACCAAGTTCTCCCAATCCTTAGCAGCCGCTAACAACGAGACCATAACAGAAAACCATTGGAGAAAGGGAAGATGAAGAAGACCCTGACTATTGAAATGAAACGAGCTGCGAACCCATAAAGGAGTAACGAAATCACAGTCTCGAAACAAATGGTTGATCGTTCTCCTGCTCCCTTCGACAAAAGCAGCAAGTCGAATCCACGGAAACGCCGCGAACAGCTAGAGCTGAGGCAACCGAATACCAGCATGAATTATTTTCCAGCCAAAGATCTTCCATTTAGGAAGAAGGGGGGAGCGCCCAAATTTCTTCCACCAGGGAATAGGCAAGGACCCAAAGGAGGACACCTGATAGTCTGATGAAGTAAGAGAGCATAGGCAGACTTCGTAGAAAAGGAGCCATCCTTGGTAAATTTCCAATATACAAAATCATCCATAAGCTCCTGCGGACGATCCAAACTAAGGATCCTGACGGCAGTTGGACTATCAAAAACCGATGGACTCTCGAGGAGTCCCACGCGTTAGAACGCGGATCAATTATACCTGACACATGAGTCGGAAGATCCGACTGAGATAAACCATCCTTGAATAACACTGGACCCCAGGAGCCCAGTTGTCGGCTGTTATGTGTACCTTGTCACCTCTACCCACTTTCCAACGTACACCAGAAGAAACAGCCGAAAGAAGCCATCTGCAACCCACGACAGCCCCAAGAGGGGCGAGAAATCCGAGCTCCCAGATTGACTGGCAGAGAGGGGTACTTCAAAAACATGAGTCTAGAAACCAAAAGTTGAGGATTTCGAATCATCCTCCACCCTGTACCAGCAAGGATAGCTGAATTAAAGCAAGCAATGTTGCGCACACCCAAACCCCCAAACCTTTGGTAAATGAAGAAGAGACACTGAGCGCAACGCCAAACCCTTCCGAGAACCAGACGATCTCCACCAAAAGTTGGCAAGCATGCTATCAAGTTGAGAAGCTACAGAAGACGGAATCTTGAAAACCGACAAGATATGATTAAACGATGCTATCAAAACCGAATTTATGATAGCCAGTTTCGCTGCTGCTAACAAGCGAAGAGAAGCAAAAGCAGACAACCGGCTAGCAACCTTGTCAATTAGAAACCTGAATTCCGCGACTTTAATCCTTCCAAGGTCAACAGGAAGACCTAGATGAGTACCAAAAGAAGCCTTCGATTGTAGTCGAAGACTGCGAGCTAAAAAATCACGGTAGTCTTGAGGGGTATTTGGGCTGAACTTGACAAAGGACTTCTGAAGATTAATCATCTGACCCGAAGCAGAGCAAAAATCCGAAAGAATGGCCATGACATTGTCACACGCTTGGGGCGAAAGTTGGAAAAATAACAGCGAATCATCTGCAAAGAACAGATGGGAAATCGAAGGTCCGCCCCTAGACACACGAATACCAGAAAAC